AACGCAACACGGCACAGCCAACAGAATGAGCTGTAGTTTGAGAGAGGAGTCCAACACTAGGAGAGATCAAATATTCCTGTTAGTTTCCAGTGATAAAACTTAGCCTCCAGAGCCACACTTTGAACAGTTTTGTGCCTCAGTTCACTATTAAATAGAGATGATGATGACAGGAGTCACACCTACTTCATAAGGCTAAGATTCGATGTTAAGATTTGATTAATGTATGTAAAATGCATGACATCCAGTATAACAGCGTAATAAATAATTAGATCTTCATTACCATTGTGCTTTTCCTTTGGGTTTTGTTTTTTACCACTCCACACCTCTTTCTTTTCACTTTTGAACTCTTATTCATCCCTCAAAACCCTACTCAAATCACACCTCTCTCAGGAAGCTGGCCTTGATTGCCCAATTTGGTTTTGAAGTACAAGATTGTCAGCTTTGATCATGTAGTTTTTGGCCACCTCCTCTACAGTCAATGCTCTTTGAGGTCAGAGAGTGAGAATCATCTGTGTCCGCAGACCTTAGCAGTGTGCTTAACACATAGTAGGTACCAAGCAAATATTTCTTCATTAAATGAAATGGCTTATCTTGAATAGGGAAGGTGGATTTTATACTAAATCTCAAAGTCCAGGCAGAATCTTAAAGGACAAAAATTGAAGAAGAATAAAGTCTGATGAGTGAAAAACTATGGTTTGCGCTTCTTTGGTAAAGTTGTGATTTCCTCCTCCTGCTAGTCCTTATTCTTCGGTTGGAAAATTTATTTCAGGAGTGCATTTTTGGTTTGAGTGTTGATGTCATGATCGTTATTCCTTCGCCAAACTGATTTAAAGGGTCCCAACACAGAATTTCTACTTCATAGGTTACTATTGTCAGGAAATCCAATAATGAATGTTTGGGAGCATCACCACCCCAAATGAATTATCTGCACAGCACTTACGTCAATTCAACACTTAACTCCTTTTCTGTCTTATGCTTTGGATTCTGAGTCCCTTGAGTACAGAGACAGTATCTTACTCGCCACTAAATTGCACACCCACAAGTGTGTAGTCAAAGTAGCTGCTCGGTAGATCCTGGCTGATTGAACGAATGGATGAATTGCTGGATAAGAGTGTACGATTTTATCAACAAAATCATTTATTTTCACTTCTCCAGCATGCCTTCTGCAAACATGTATTTCTCTCTTTGATTAGTCTGCTTCCTATAGCTGGTTAACCAGCTGCACACAAATATCTGCCTGTTGATATTGTCCGCCCAAATTTTGTTTCAGGTGCTTCTTCCTTCACTTCAAAAGCTGACTAAATACCCAATATTGTCTCTCCACCTTAAGTTACACAATAATTAGATAAACCTCTATTACAGCAAAGATTGCATGCTGCTTGACTTTTTTTCCTCTTTCCTGAGATCTTAAGGAACTCATCATTGTATTCCTGAGCTTTGAATGTACTCATTCTTGATCACATGTATGGCATTAACTTTTTCTATGTTGCTTCATAGAGGCTGACTGGTAGAACCAGGTGGTGCCGGGGAGATCATGAATAATTTTAAATTTATTTTAAAATTTATTTAAAAAAAAATCAATGCACATTGTCCAAGTGCAGTGGCTCACACCTGTAACCCCAGCACTTTGGGAGGCCCAGGCAGGAGGATTGCTTGAGACCAGGAATTGAAGACCAGCCTGAGCAACATGGTAATTTGAAATTATTAAACTAATATTTTTGGCATATTCAACATACCTGAATAATACCTTATATGTAGATATAAGTGCATAATGTATTGTTAGACATTTACATTTAATTATGTTCCAAATAATTGAATTTAAAAGTATTTGGAAAATAATGTATATTTAAATAAATCTATGTCCTTGCTCTCTTTTCTGATTTTAATTTTTAAAAAAGGTATTACACTCTGGAATTTTTCTTGACTTACAAATGGTTCTATAATTTTAAAAAATATATTTTCCTCTTATTGCCTATAATATTAATATTACCAACACTGAGTATTATATTAATAGTGCTAGGTTGCTATTACTTTGAGTTTGAATTTTTTAAAGCTCTTATAACTGTTGTCAAATTATTTTTCAAACATTATCTGCCAGTTTATGTGCTTCTCAGCAATGGGTAGATTTACTAGTTTTATTTATGTATTTCCCAACATTAGGCACCATAACATACTTTTTAAAATAATTTAGTAGAGGAAATAACATTTATTTTTGCTTTCATTTGCAACCTTTCACTATAAATGAAGTTGAACAATTTTCATCTTGCTTATACATTTTTATTTTCTTTTAGGTAAATTATCTTTTTTACATACTTTGTCCATAATGTGGTAAACTAATTTAGCAATTTGGGGGCATTAAAAATAATCACTAGATTTCAATAAACTAAATTTTTATAAGAGTATTTTTAATTATACCAATTCTCGTCACGCAGCTAGTGTTTACCTAGCTTAAAGCTCATGTCAATTACAGGAGTAGCCATTTCATTTGAGAAGGAAGTTGTAAAACTCAAATCATGGACCTATACTTGTTGTGATGAGAACCGATGAATATGGTGGATATTAATGTCCCCGTATCAATAAGCACCTGCTATCAATTACAATCCAGGGCCGGGGCGGCCGGACAGGTAGTTTCTGTTCTAGACCAAACCTAAGAGAAAGGTAGGCCACTTATCTCAGGTGAACACAAGGCTAATCAAACGCTGCTCTTTTCCCTGTTTCACTTTTGTTTGCTTATTTAACCAGGCAAAAGTAGTTAACCACTCAGAGAAAACAGCTTCAACTCTGTTGACATAAAACTCATTTCACATGACCCACAGATAATCGTTGGCAGCCTTCGAAAGGGTACAAGCTCCTGCAACAACACCATTTCCTCAAATCCAACCGCAGTAGCAGCCCTACTTTCAGTCCATGCAAATTTTTTTAAAAGAACTAAATGACCATTTATTTGTCAGGCAGTTTCCATGAAATAGACTTAAAAACAATCATTCATAAAATATCAGTTTTGGAGCCTAAGTGATGACCACAGCTGAAGACATGCTACAGCGATGGCTCTGTATCTTAGCAGCATATTGGACTCTTGTGGGAGCTTTAGAAGATAGTGATGGCTGCCTGTACTCCCACATCCTTCGGGGCTCTGATGTAATCGGCCTGGGATAAAGCCTAGGCATGGGGATTTTTAAAAGGCCCCCTATGCTAGGTTGAGAAACTCTCACTGCTCTAGGGGAAGATAATGGATAGGGTTTGACTACCACCTGCTGCAGGTAGTTTCAATAATAAAAGATGAATGATAACACATATTAGTTTATTTCTCAAAGGAAAAGATTCATGAGGATGTTCTTGTCTACTTGTTTGTTTGAAGAAATGCTTGCAAAAATATCTAGAAATATAGAATAGATTCAAATGATGCAAGTTGATGAGATTTAGGGGAGAAAAATAGTTCATGTTTGATACTTTACATAAATGCTACTAAATTCTATTTGTGCATATCAGCGTACCAAATCTAAATCGGATATTTAGGGGCTTTTGCCAACCGTCTGATCCACATTTATTATTTTAGCATGTTTAACTCTATCCTCGTTTTATACTCCTGTTCTTTTCACTGATGCCCAGACTGCCTCCTTTATACACTTTCTTATCCCCAGTGCCTGGCAGTAGTGTCTGATAACATTCAGTAAATGGTTATTGACTGAATGAATGAATTTTTCTTTATTGTTTTGCTAGCTGGATAGGCTGTTAGTAGTAGTAGTGCCACAGTGACCTCTGTTGATGAAACCAGGAAGTGCAGAAAGAAACTCTTGGAAGAAAGGAGTTATTTTAATGACAGTCAAGTTGAGGTTGAAATGCGAGCTGTGCCCAGTCTCAGAACTGAAGAGAAAATGGTATGAAATGCGAATGTGTTCACAGCATATGGAGAGAGCAACAGCACCACTGGTCTGTCCCAGCGAGTAGGCCAGCTCAGCAGTTTTCTTAACAGCTTGTCTGATTCTTTCTCTCCACGGTCATATGCCAGGGGCATAAGCTTCAATTTGCTCTCCTAAATAATTTTACTAGTTTGTCATCATTAAAAACTTAAATATTTCATACTATGCATTGATTTTCATTTTTTTGTAGAGCCTGAATTTTGCCATGTTGCTCAGGCTGGTCTTCAATTCCTGTTCTCAAGCAGTCTGCCTGCCTGGGCCTCCCAAAGTGCTGGGGTTACAGGGTGAGCCACTGTACCTGGCCAATGTGCATTGATTTTTTTTTTTAATAAACTACCCAAGACATTCTAATTAAGGTATCTAAAAAACTGCACTCCATTTAAAAAAAAATCATCGTGCTTTAGAGTAGGTTTTAAAAACTGTTCTTGTTTTTTATTTTTATTCATACTTATTGTTTGCATACTGATACATGGAGCCATTGAACTGGTACCCATCTCTCCAGTTCCCTGTTTCCTCTCATACTCCTAGTACTTGGTGTAAAATTTAGGGGGAAGAGAAAATAAAAGAGGCAGACTTTGATAACTGCTTAAGAAATTAAGTACAAGAATATTTAATCTCATGAAAAGAAGTAAAAACAGGAATATTGCCACCAAATAATAAGCACTGATAATATAGGGGACCAGCCAGCTAAGAGTTAACTTTGAGACTCTAGCACTAAACTGGGTGTCCCAGTTTCAACCTTTGCACCGACTGAATCAGTTAACTTTCTGCCTAATTAACTCAAACTTCAGATGGGATTATACATACAACATCCCATATGGACTGTGGGCCTACTTCCCCATCTAATCAGAAGATATAAAACTGCTTATCAGCATACAACTGATTACTTAGGGTTTAAAGGAAAAAAAGGGAGGTGAGGTATATATCTGAATAGAAATGTCATATTGATACAAACGTTACCTGAACAAAACAGTGATGATTTTAGAGGTAGTAAGAAAGAAAAGAGTACATAACATGCCAGTTAAATCATTAAAACATCATCTCCTTTGAATGAAGAATGAAAATACACTGGATCCTCACCTCATTGCCATCTTTGGGGTTTTGGTCCTGTGACCACTTTCACAGTGGGTCTGTGTTGTAGGCCTCCAAATAGCAATAAATGAACCGTCGGCCATCAGATCCTGGTGGAATTCAAAACAAAGAGTTCCGTATCAAATTATCCAACTATTTTTGTAAGACTCCAGGTTTAGTCTGTTTATTTTTCTTTACACACCCTGTCCCCAAAACTTTTGAAGAGTGCTAAAAATGATACAAAACCCAAGAAGATAACAATAATAAAGTAGAAGGAAGGAAACCAAAGATGGGGCCGTAAAATGTAGCCAGTAAAGACGTTAAGAATATGCATAACCATGGTATCTATGTGCATGCTTACACACGAACGGACCACATATACTAAAAGCCACACTGCAGAATAACCTGGTCAAGAACTCCTTCACATAACATAAAAACAAATACGTTTCCCAGAAGACAACCAACTCTTCCTGGTATTAGACTAGAAAAAAGAAAAACATGCTTGGGTTCTTTGTGAAAAGAGAAACTATGTGGTACAATAAACAGCGTCCTTAACAATTATCGTGATGCGAAGTTGCATAAGGGCTTTTCCTGAAATTGCTCCTCTTGAGGGGGAGCCCCGTTCAATCTGAGTTTCAGATAAACAAAGGAGACATACGTATACTAAACAATTACTCCTGGTTTATCTATGATTCCAATTTCAGTGGGCATTTGTAATTATATTTGCTAAATCTGGCACCCGTGGATGAAAGCCTCGTATCAAAAGGCAGATCCCTACATCTGTGCATACATAATATCCCTGTTGAAAATATACAGCACCATGCAGGGACCAGCCCAGATCAGTGCTACAGCTTAGTGAGTTTAAGTACTCGGGGTAAAAAAAAAATTCAACCACATTCAAAAATTAAAACATTTGATGAGAAAGCACTTTTGGGGGAGTCGAGGACTGGTGAAAGTTCTATTTAAAAGTACATGGAAATTGACTATTTTGTCAGGTCATTACTGCTTACCTACAAACAATTCGTGGAACACTAGTGTTTTAGCTTGTTTACTTTTGTTTTTTTGGTACCATATAAATGATGGGGCACTGACATAGTTTAGTATCTTAAATTATATATATAGTTAATATCTTAAAATAGAGCTTGTAACCAATATAATGGATTATGAGAACCTAGCAAAACATTACAAATGCATTTTAAAGCATTAATTATTGATTAAAAAATGGACAAAAATGACATTGCAAAAATTTTGTGTTTTTACTTTGAATGTTTTTGATCTGGCTATATAATAATCAATATCTCAAAGCTCATGAATATTTCTAAATGATTTAACTACTTAATAATTAGTTAATATTATTTATATTTACTAATATTAATGATCTAATTATATAATATGAGACATTAATATTAGATGACTAAAGTATTTAGTAAAACATTTTAAAACTACATGTAGATACTTACAAAATGTATTATCAAGTCAATTAATTTCCTTCCTCTTTGTAGATGAATTGCTCCTATCATGGTTAATTGTTAATATTAGGAAGAAAAATATAACTACTTAGATCATCTAATAACTTATTCTGTTAATTTTAGTATGAAGCAGTTAAACTTTGCATTTTCTCAATGTAGTTCCTTAAACACAAATCAAGATGTAGGATTTAATTTTCTCTTTCCTCACATCCAACTCAATACATATTCTAAAGACAGTATTAAAAATCTGAATCCCAAAATGTTGCATCTGTAATAAAATTGATTCCCTATACATTCGAATTCAAAATTATTCCCTGATCTGACATTCAAGAATTTTATGGAATTTACTAAAGAAAACAAAATATTTGAACATTGCTCACAGAACATAAATCCTGGCCATAATTTACTTGACAATGTCCCTGTTGATGAACACACTTATTTTATTTCTCATCTTTTGTTTTATAAACAACGCAGCCCAGAATATCCCTGCAAATCTATTTTGCACATGTGTATTAGTATAGCTGTACATGGAGTCCTAGAAGGTCAGTCGTGGGCTCAAATAGATTCCCCAGTTTTACATTTAATAGAAATTGCCAAATTGCCCCTAAATAAATTAGATCAATTTTCTGTCTAGCCACAGAATAAGAGAATGTTGTCCAGCATCCTTGGTAACAACATGGTTAGTAACTGCAGGTTTTAACTTTTTCCAGTTTTATAGGTAAAAGAAACAATAACTCCATCTTTTTTTTTTTTTTGAAATACACTTTCTCTTTGTCACCCAGGCTGGAGTGCAATGGCACAATCTTGGCTCACTGCAACCTCCGCATCCCAGTTCAAGTGAGTCTCCTGCCTCAGCCTCCCAAGTAGCTGGGATGACAGGCGCACTCCACCACTCCCAGCTAATTTTTTACATTTGTGGCAGAGTCGGGGTTTCGCCATGTTGGCCAGGCTGGTCTCGAACTCTGAACCTCAAGTGATCTCTCTGCCTCGGCCTCCCAAAGTGCTGGGATTACAGGTGCGAGCCACTGTGCCCAGCCTTCTTCATCTTATATCAATTTGGAATGCATCAGTTATAAATGCAGTTGTAGTTGATACCTGTCAATTTTCAGCTCCTGGCATTCATCCCCCATGCTCAGCTCCCTCTCACACTTCCCACTGCGATGGGATCATCTTTTGAGGATGGCTCCATTGTGTGTCAGTGGTAGGTGGTAGAGTCCAGCAAGACAGTGGATACAATGTGGCTTACCCTTGGACAATATGACTCTCTTGTGGACACTGATTCTTTAGAGAGGGACCCAAGGGCGATGGTGCAGGTTGGAGCCACAGCTGCTGCAGTGGCGGCTGCTGTGTGAGTGTGTGGAGGCTACAGTGTGATGTTGTCTGTGATCCTTGCAGCACAGTGCTCCAGAGATCTGTGGCACTGGTCTAGTCTGGAACATAAGCTGGTATGCTCTGAGTCCCGGATACTTTTCCAATGCATTCAGTTCCTCTTTAAGATAATCAATGCATTCCTTCTCCATGCAACCACAAATGCTGCCACGATTATATAGAGGTTCATCATAATATTCCTTTAAATTGCAAAACCTTTAAATAGTGAATCCTTCCAGTGCATGAAGATGATTTGCTAATTGGCTTATCAAATTCCCAGGAATTCATCTATGGTAATAAGCAAAGTGAATCTAAATTTTAAAAGAACTGTTAGAGTGAACACAACTAGAGAACAGTCATATCAGCTCTCAGTGGGACTGGGAATTTTTTAACAAAAAATGTTACACCATGACATAAATTGGGAGGGACACACACAATACACAAATGGTGTTCAAGATTTCAAATACAGGACAGGGTCATGAGAACTAACATTTGTTGATCTCTGGCTTCCAAGATTAGAAAAAATAAAGATGGCCGGGTGCAGTGGCTCATGCCTGTAATCCCAGCGCTTTGGGAGGCCGAGGTGGGTGAATCACGAGGTCAGGAGTTGAAGACCAGTCTGGCTAAGATGGTGAAACCCCGTCTCTACTAAAAACACAAAAGTTAGCTGGGCATGGTGGCAGGCGCCTATAATCCCAGCTACTTGGGAGGCTGAGGCAGGAGAATTGCTTGAATCCAGGGGGCAGAGGTTGCAGCGAGTTGAGATCACACCACTGTACTCTAGCCTGGGTGACAGAGTGAGACTCTGTCTCAAAAAAAAAAAAAAAAAAAAAAAAAAAAAAAAAAAAAAAAAAACCAGAAAATAAAAAATAAAAAATACTTTCATTTCAATTTAGTAATCAGCTAGCAAAAAGCAAAGTATTTGCTTCATTTGTATTTGGACTGTACCAAATACCAATACCTATGCCACGTAAGTAGATGGCGCTCCCCATGGTCTGCTGTTCTGCCAGGTGTAGAGCCCAGGCAGGAGTCATCCAGTTCAAGCAAACCTGGAGTCCCATGAGTCCTGCTCTTGTGCCATTAGCCAGGGGAGCACCCTGTCAGCCTCTAGAGGCTCCCAACTACAGCGGACCACGTAGAGCAGCATCTTGTTAGGTCGCAGTTGTAGCCTCTTGTGTTCTACGTGCACTTCAATATTCTTCATAAAGTAGTCCCAGGTCTTTGGAAGATCTCACTGTGTCTACCTCAGGAACATTTGTAGCATTCATTGCACAAATCCCTTATGTATGCTATATAAGGCACTATTTCTGTTTGTTCCCTTATCACATGGTTGCATACATAATACAGCAGTTGCTGTATTATGTTGAAGTGTAGTTTTGAATTTTGATTATTTCTTCCCTTCTCTATGTCTCTCTTTCTCTCTCTCTCTCTTTCTCTCTGTCTTTCTCTCTCTCTCTCTTTCTCATCTATCTGTCTCTATACATACATCCCTCCCTTTGGCCAAAGCAATCTTTTATTGATATATAATTTACCTTAATGCATAGATGTTAAGATTTTGAATATTTAGCCTGATTAGTTTTATCAATTGTAGACACTCATTTAATCACCACCCATAAGGAAATAGTGAGCATTTCCCAAACCCCAGAAAATCCTCTCATGCTCCTTTCTAGTCAACTCTGCAACCTTCCCCCAAGAGAAAAACACCATTTTAATTTCTGTCACATAGTTGTGTTCTGGCTATACTGACCTTCATGTGAATTGAATCACGTGACTTTTCTGTTATGTTTCTGAAGTTTATCCAAATTGGTGTGTGTGTCAGCAGATTGTTTCTTTTCACTGAGGAGTATTTTACTTTGACTCAGTGTGTATGAATGAACACACCACAATTCATTGATCCACTCTCCTGTTGATGGGCATTTGAGTTGTCTCCAGTTTGAGACAATTATGAATGACGCTACCATGACGTTTTTCTCTAAGTCTTTTTGTGGACATAGAGTCTTTCCTTCTCTTGAGTAATACCTAGGAGTTAAATCTCTGGGTCATGGAGTAAGTTTAACTTTATAGGAAATTGCAAAAGGCTTCTCCAATGTGGTTGGACATTGTTATCCTCCTACCAGCAATAGATGAGAGTCCCAGTTGCTTCACTTACTAACATTTAGCTTTGTCAGATTTTTCTATAAGAGTCACCCTACTGTACATAAAACAGTATCTCATTGAGATTTTAATTGGCATTTCCTGATGGTTAATGATATTAAGCATCTTTTCATGTGCAT